TTTCAGAGCGAAAAAAAGAAATAAGATTAGACTAACTGGTGTAACTGTCGCAAGAGCTAATTTCAGTCGAATAGGTTTTCTGTTCACTAATCGTATTATCTTCGGCATTTATGAGTCGTTTCAATCATAAGTCAATCGAAAAATCCTGATCCGAACGGCGCACTCGTCAACGTACAACTCTATATAGTCGCCATGATCGTTAATTCAAATAGTACTTCTGACGCGCGAAATGCGCGTCTGAATCTGACGATCGCACTTTAAGTCCGATCTATATAAGACGCAGAATGCGAGTCGCAGGTCGCAAGCGTCAGCCAATCCGATGCATCAATTTTAAAAGTGACGCTTCGAGATTGGCTGACGCAATACAAACTTTCGTCTTATGTAGATCGTACTTAAAACAATGTTTACAATGAAATTGTAAGGCGTAAAATTTAAACTTTAAACATTAAGTTTTAAGCCTAAAGCCCAGTTGCATCAATATCACTTTGACTTTAAGCGAGACTTAAAACTCTATCTGTCTCATTTTAAAGCCAAAAAGAGACAGAGACAGAAAGAGTTTTAAGCCTCACTTAAAATCAAAGTAACGTTGATACAATCGGGCTTAAACCGTAAGAAATTGACCAATCATAGTCGATTAACATAATTTTCTCACATTTGAAATGTAATAAAAATTTAAAATATTGTTATGTGTCGTATTGTGTAGCTTTTTTTATCATATAAAATATTCTGCGTAACGATGCTGGAACGATATCGATACTATCGTTAAGAGTTACAGAATAGAACAACTGATCCAAAAAATGCGACCGAATTTTGTATGTGTGTGTTCGTGAAGTTATCTAATGCGATCTCTATCGATTTATCATCTATCGATTGATGCACACAAATCTGAAAACAGTTGAGTTGCGGAATCCGTTGATGTTAGTACCGCGTCATTGGAACATCTTGAAAACGCGAAGTAATACTTTAAAAAATTAGCTGTGATTAATCCGTGATTTATCGCCTTTTAAATTCTACTTTTTGGCTACGTTCCGTTTATTTGTTGCGAGCAGTACTGCAAATTTATAGTACACATTATTTATACTATAGACTTCTTACTCGCAATAAATATAATAGAACTCAGGTCTTTAGTCACGTACGTCAATTGCGTATATAAATGTATTGTAGTGTATACAACTCGAGTAGTATCGGTAATGACCGGCATTACTCGTTCGTTGAAAGTGAGTCGTATAATGTGTATACATACATACGTTTCGAGAGTGTGTACAACGCGAAATAACAAGTTGTCGTTTTGTGACGTTAATAAATGCAAGCGTATTGATTGTAATTAGTCGCATTATCGACAGTTTGTATCCGCACGAGCAAATATTATATACTTTTTGAAAGTGATGATGGGAGTATAAATTAGCGAAGACCGCAGCGTACTGATTAGTGAGTAATTCAATTACTATACATGTGTTTATGTGTACATAGTAGTAGTATAATTAGCATTTTTAGACAAATAATTTTAATTACATAGTACGTCATACTTATTTTGTTTGACCTCGTTATAATTTGCTTCTTTTTGCTCAATAAGTTTAAACTTGTCAATTGTTGGTTTTATCTATATACATATATATATCGATATCGATTTTCTCTTTATTTGAAAAGGAAAATTATTATTTTACTATAAAACACTGTAATTTTTGAATAATATAATTTAATATTTCAGTTTTATAAACTAAAAAAATGTACTAAATTTTAATAAATATTATATATAATATAATATTTGTTTGAATAGTGTGCTAGATCGTACTAGAATATATTTACTAATTATAAATAACAAATATTTTGTGATACAAGAACCATTAATTTAATTTAGTTATCATTTTCTTCATTTAGTAAATATTTATTTATTGTAACTAAATATTAAGTTAATATTATTCAAATATTTATGAAAATTTAATATATTTTTTGTGTTTTTGGTAAATTTTGATGTATGTACTTTTTTCCAATTAAATTTCTCTCTTGCGAAAAAATAGAAAGATATATTTATAATATTTCCGATGTAATATTTTTTATATCAAATACGAGTATTTTTTTTTATAAAAATATTTTTTCATAATATTTGGAGAAATATTTAAAGAAATATTTTGGCTACATACTTTATTGTCATATTGCATGATGGCGCCACTTCATTACATCTCGAGTAAATATTTGAAACAGCTGATAGCGTGCAGCAGAATACATAACCTTTACGCTCCATTTTGTTCTTAAACGAGAGGTCTCAGTTAATTGCAAGTGTTCTCTAGTGCAACAAATCAAAACATGATTCGTTTTGCAGCCAAACAATTATTTATCAACAGAAATTTTAGTACGAAATTTAATGAAATCAGCAATCTTGTTAAGGTAAGTGAATATAATATGATAAGGATACGCTTGTGCTTATACCGTAAATACTTCCTGACTCGAGACGTATGATATTTAATATTTTGTATGAAAAATAGCAGAATAAGTGTGTAATTTCTATATAAGATTTTTTTGCAGTTTGTACGGTATAGAAAAAGCATGAAATAATACTCAAAAATTATCAGTGGCTCTTTAGTTTGGTTAATAAATGTAATATTATTATAACATCTATTATCTTAAACATGTTTTTTTTGTAGAAAAATAAAATAGTCGTCTTTATGAAAGGCATTCCAGAAGAGCCAAGATGTGGATTCAGCAATGCGGTAGTTCAAGTATTACGTATGCACGGCGTTACTTATGATGCTCATGATGTTCTTAAGGATGAAGAACTTAGACAAGGTAAAAGGATTACAATACTTGTTACAAATGCTGTTACAAGTTTCCATGTTTATTAAACAATTATTTTTCGGAAAGAGATATTTTATAAAATTTTTATCTATGTAAAAAAGATATTTATTGTAAAAATAAATATCTTTTTACTGTTTATACTGCATAAAATAAAAAAATTTATATAATTTTATATATATTCGTAAATCTTCTGTAAAGTATTAATCTTTGTAAATTATTAATTATTGTTAATGTCATATAATTCTGAAATACTAATATTAATTACTTAGGTATAAAAGACTTTTCTAATTGGCCTACAATACCCCAAGTATTTATAAATGGTGATTTTGTGGGTGGCTGCGACATACTCTTAGAAATGCATAAAAATGGAGAGCTTATTGAGGAATTGAAGAAAGCTGGAATTACTAGTGCTCTTTTGGAAAAAGAAGATTCCTCTCAAAGTGGTGTCAACAAATCTAAAGAATAATTTTGTTTTAAATTATCTTGTAAATAAACAACCGTGTCTTGTATGGATAGAAAGATAGTTGCTTTTTGTTATAATAAACATTTTTGTTAATATTAAACATAATTTTAACCACAATACAGATATAATGCATGTATAAATCCATGTTTAGTTGTAAATTTCTTGACATCAATTCGAGTATAAAACTCGATATTTGAAGAATATGTTATAGATTTTCAAGTTCTTTTCGAAGAATTTTTCCAGCTGTAGATTTCGGAATACTCTCTATAACTTGTACATATCCTAATTGTTTGTATTTGGCTACACGTTTAGCGACAAATTCTTTGAGTTTGTTCTCATTAATTTTGACTCCCGACTTAGGAACTACAAAAGCTTTTGGAATTTCGCCATAATTCTCGTGTGTCACGCCAATGACGGCGACGTCTTCTATATTATCGTAATGACGAATTACTTCTTCCAGTTCAGTGGGTGCAACTTGATGTCCTTTTACTTTTATTAATTCCTTCGTTCGTCCTTCCACATACAATACACCTATATTTTGCAACATATAATAATTCACAATTATCTCGTTTCGATTATTAAATATCGTCACAGTATTATTTTTTCAAAGTTTCTGATTAAATCTTACTTACCATTTTCAGTATAATACCCTAAATCACCAGTCTTGTACCAATCTCCATCCATAGTATCTGCTGTTGCCTTGGGATTTTTGTAATACCCTTTCATTACTTGTGGGCCCCGTACATATATTTCTCCTATTTCATGCGGACCTAAATTTCTGCCGAGAGTGTCATCTTGTTTGCTTACAATCCTCATTTGTGTATTTGAAATCAAATAACCACAGGATAACGTCGATTTACGTGTATTTATGGAACCGAGTGTAACAAGCGGAGATAACTCCGTCGTGCCGTATCTGTAAATGAACATTGTTTTTCTTATTGTTATATAAATATATTTGTAACAGTGATCTCTTACCCTTGGACAAAAGTCATGTCATTAGTGAAACGATTTTGAAATTTTGTGGTAAGTTTTTCTCCGAGCGGTGCAGCTCCTGTTAATGTTAATCTTACAGATTCAATATGACGGGATGTAATTCGCTCATTGTATATCATCATCTGAACGATAGGTGGTACTATATGCAATATTGTGAATCGATGATTTTCAAACAGTTTTATAAATTCTTCCGTTGAGAATTGTGGTAGACACACCAATTTAGCACCTATTCTATAATTGATGAAATAACAATAAATCTCAATATTTCAAGTATTAGTTTAATATTTCATGTGTCATACGATAAATTTTTTAAGCGTAGTAATTGACTGCAGGATAGAGAGATCCGAGAATTGATCTTGTACGACATACGAAATATCGGCCTTATAAAGAAAATATGAAGTCAAAAGTTAAATGATTATTTAATATTAAATATTCGGCATATTTGGGCATTTACATGTCATAGTTACGCAAACGAGTTAATAGATACATGTTAACATACCGCAAGTAAGAATACAGGATAACTAATAATCCATAATAGTGATACATTGGTAATATTAGTGGTACAATATCCTGATGATGTTCACTCGCTTCTATTCCTGGAAAAATTGTTGGATCCGTACCTTGAAGTATATTTACAACAATGTTCCTGCGAAATCGTATTCTGATTATTTTTTATTATTTTACATTGATATTATAACAGTACATTGAATGTTCACAATGTATAGGAACTTATTTATATGAATTGCATTTTTTTTCAGTCCAAATATTTAATATGTAATCAATTTATATACCTATGAGACGACTCAACGCCTTTCGGCAAACCAGTCGTGCCACTGGAATAAGGCAAAAATACTGTATCTTCGCAACTTATTCCAGTTTTTTGATTAATTGAAAAATCTTCGATGTCGTCACGCATAAGATCATTTAATTGAATCGTCCCTGAGATTGAGCTAGCATTAGTCCTATCGTTTACGATGATGATTGGTAATTTTATCTTCGAATTTTTCTCAATACTTGCTTTAATATCAATATGTTTTGCCGGAAATGTAAAAATAGCTTGAGTGTCCGCGTTTTCTAATTGTCTTTTTATCTCATATATTGTATGTACAGGATTAATCAGAGTTGTCTTAAAAAGAAAAAATTTAAATGACTATTACAACAAGCTTATATAGCGACAAATTCTTCTAAAAAATTAATATCTTATTACATTATACTATATTTTTTTCAATGTTAATTTTTATTATTTTTTACTAGTTGAAAAAATTTTTTGTTAAAGTGTGACTCTAAATAAAGTTATCTAAATTATTCCATTATCTCTTAAATTATTGTATATAACTGCAGTTCTTTTTTCAGCAAATATAATAGATATATAAAATTGCATTTTGAACAGAATCACCATGTCCTGGTCCCATTTCATTGATAGACTTGACAGTTTGTTACAATTTACTAAACATGCTACATAGTATGTATATAATATTTCTAAATGTAATAATTTTATCTTACACGTAAACCGGCTTCATTTGCTGCTAATGCGATAATGGCGAATTCTGGAATATTTGGTAAAATGATAGCAATAGTATCTCCCGGTAAGAGCTTGCTTTTTCTTAAACTCGTTGCTAGTTTGCTGCATGCTTTTCTCAATTGACCGTACGTATATGATCTACCAGTATTTGCGCATACCTAAAATTAAAAAATTAATCGTTATAAAAAGTTGTACTTACCACTTATATAGAATGTTTATAAACGCGATGAATCTAAGAATCGACAAAATTGACTGAACATTAAATTTAATAAAATATTACTATATCATTAAATAAACACAAATTATCCGAATAAAAATCTATATATGTATAAGTTAATAAATTATCCGATATACAATAAATAGTTTCGTGCTATTGAAGCACTATTATTAATCTCATGTGAGTCGAGCAGCAAATCATTTCCAAAAATGTAACAAGCAATTGTGATGATGAAGAAACTACTCAACGATTGTCAAAAATTACAAATTCCACATCTTAAATATACATATATTCGCCATATTTTAAATATTCTTTTTTATTCTATTATTATCTTTCACATCTTAATCTGAAGTTATTAGACATTTAGCCGCGCGATCTTTCCTTTCTACTATTATTCAATTATTATCTTTGGTTATATTCGATCTAAATTTAGACATTTACTGATAAAAATAAAAAAATTTATGGCCCATATTCAGAACCTTTTTACAACGATGTTAACGCGCTAATATACTATACTTTACGTTACGCATATTATAGAATTTCAGAGATAAAAGTGTACTTTTATCGATAAAAGCGTGTTCTGAATACGGACTTGTGAAAACAATAGATAATGGTAATTCTTTTGTAATAATAATAATACATGATTGAAAATAAAAAATAAAGTTATGCAACGCCTCTCTCTCTCTCTCTCTCTCTCTCTCTCTCTCTCTCTCTTTCTCTTTCTCTTCTTTTTTATCTTGGGTGTCTAAAATACAAAATTTGAAAACATAAAATTATGATAATTTTGACAAATTTCGAACATATAAAATGAATTTTTCTGTAGTCAATGTTTCAATAATTATAAAATTGTTTTTAGATTTTTTAAATTTTGACATTGAATATTCGTTAAAACTATTTAAATATTTGTTAATGTTCAGATTAATCAATTTTTATAATCTCTGTGCATTTGTTTGTGTATTTTTATTTAAGATTATTTTTTAAATATTTGATCTCCATGTTGGACTTATCTAGTAACCTACCAAAAATGCTTTTTATACTTCTATAAATATTTCTTATCTTTAAAAACTACACTCTATATAAAATTTAACAATAATGCACTGCATTACATAACATAAGAAAGATTTTTTTCTACAAATTATGCAACTTTACACTTTTAATTAAGCATCCTTATTGTTTACGCTGAAAATGATTCAAACTAGGATCGAACCGGTTATTTTATATTTTGTCATATCGTAAAATAAAATTGTGTTATATACACAAACATCTAGCGTTTCATATTAGTATTAATTTCGTAGGATTTTCTAATAGCTGTATTTATAAAATTCAATCCGTTCTAAAGCTTGTATATTTTTTTATTGTTTATATATTATTAAAATAGATAACATTGAAATAATATTGAAATAATGATCACTTTTTTTCATTCTCTAATATTTATAGAAAGAAATTCTTACGTGATCACTACGTCCCTATTACGAAAAATGTAAATAACAAATATTCTTTATAATTTTATATTATTTTATTTGCATTACACGTACCAAAGCAATATGATTTGACCATCTTCCGACTTTTTCCCAGATGAAATCGTGCAAGTGAATATTCTCAAAGCCGCTTATGTCAGGTAGTCCACTGCTCACTACATTCTGTGCATCGACTTTTAAGTTGACTGCAGTTGCGTAGTACCGATATTTATTAAATTTTCTCCAATGATTTTTTGGCGATACATTGACAATGCATTCTTTGATGCACTGATTCAGGATACAAGAAACGCGTCTGAAAAGTGACAGTTGCAGGATCGTCATTATGCGAAATATGTTGATAGAATAAATGTTTTAAATGTAAGTATATTATGCGCACTGCGTGTTAGCATTACAACTATTACATAGATCATGAAGACTGTTCCGAAGTTTGACCGAATATATAGATACTGTCCCCACTAATTCAGATAATGTAGTGAGAACAAGAGCGATTGTTATTTCATAAATATATAGGCTACAAAAGTTTGATTATTTTTCTTAATACTTTTTCGATTCGTAAAAAAATTCTTTTAGACTTCAAATCTAAAAGTGGAGTATTTTAATCAATATTTTTTTAAATCAATATGGGAAGAAAAATAAAATTTTCTTTTATTTATATATGCGTATATATCGGATGTTCAAAATAAAGCGCTATAAATTTTTATCTCGGAAACACAGCATTATTGAGAAAAAAGGTTCAGTTCAGACAAAAATTGTAGGCACGGCGTAATAAGGAGATCAAACTCAAACGGTCACAAAAAAGTAGGCTCGAAACACGATGGAGGACCTTACATCTACTACATACATACATATGTATATATGTGACCTGTGACCTGTGATCACGTCATAGTCAATATGTCCAACTTTTTCTGCAAGGCGTGTTGGCACTAAAATCGTCTGCCGTAAAGCTCTAGATACCAAAGTAGCGCATAGGTCCTCCATTTTAGACTTACTAACCATATCCTATATCAATAATACTAAACACTTATTGGACTATAAACAATTAAAGCGAAATGGCGATCGAAATAACCAATAGGAAGACTGTTTCGGCATTTCGACTCAGAATAAAAGGAATGCGCTACTTTCTTAAAAACCAAATTTTCCATAGGTTGTCCTACACCGTGTTTCGAGTCTACTTTCAGACCTCGAGTTTGATCTCCTTATTACTCCGTGGTTGTAGGGTTTAAAAAAGTTTATTTACTGATCTTATCATTGACCTTGGATGGCGTCGTCAAGGGTCAGGTCAAGGACACACATTGATTTAAAAAAAAAATGGAACTTTTTACAATATAATTGATTTTTTTGAACTCTATAACTTTTATCTGAACAATTTTTCTCAATAATACCGTGTTTTAGAGAGAATAATTTGTATACGCTTTATTTTGAACACCCGGGATAAATAAATAAATGTACATACATATATTGTATATGATCTACATATATACATACGAGTATGTATGCAGGATGTTCGGTGAAGAAACTGTCAAATGTTCTAGGGATCATTCTAAGCAAAAAAGTTTATATACACTACAAATCAAATTGTCTTAATATATTATTGAGATATAGATAATTTTATAAATATTATAACAAATAAAAATGCCAGACACTTATAATTTTTTGTAAATATTATTTCCTTAATCATATTAATTGTTTAAAATGTCCATCTTCTGTTTACAAGCATGCTGCTACTTGTCTCATAGACTGCTAAATCATGTTTGCATATTCAACATAGTTAAATATTCAAGACATTTTTAAAATGTAATGTCATTTTACTTGACACTTTTAAAAGTATATAAATCAATGTATTCAGAAATTTGTAATGGTAATGAATGGTCGTATACGATAACCTTAACACTATCTGAATATCAATTTTCAGTAAATATTTAGATGATTCAATAAATATTTAGATATACTGCAGTATATCTAACAGAAACTAATACGAGACTGGATTGTCGTAAAAAATTTGAGTTACTCTCTGATAGAATTAAATATTTTATATTTTAATGAGCCAAATTGATCTGTAGTTTATATGAACTTTCTGCGTAGAATGACCACTAGTTAGAACATATTCTAAAAGTTCGTCAATTTTCTTACGGAACATCTTATATAAAATATATAATTGCAATTTGTGATGTATTACTGTACGTACACATTGCTGCTATGTTTATTAAGTTGAATTTTGAAATAACTTTGAATGACTTTGAATTTTGAATGACTTGTTGTTCCACAAGGTATTTAAAAGATATTTTTTTTAATTATGACGTTTAAAAAGCGTTATCTAATAATTTGTGGACTAGAATTAAATTTTTTATCTATAAAAATTTTGGCAGACGACAAATCGTGTTTTTATGATGTGTGTACACACACATACACGCGCGCGCGCGCGCGAGACTTTGTAAAATACAATATTTGTCTCTGTACAGGGTGGTCTTAAATTGATTATCTAAAATATCTTGTTTATTTTTGATGATATAAAAAAATTTTTCAAATGAAAGTGGAATGATTTTTCGAGGGGACGTATTTTTGTGATATTTTTTTTCTAGGAGGCATCAAAAAGATATGAAGGTCACCTTCACTTTTTTTAATGGAATTGTATGATTTTTTTCACACAGTATAATTTCTCTAATTATTCGACATATAAAAGTATTAACATAATGATATCAAGAAACCAACAGTACGAAAACAATTTACGAAATATTTTACACTTTACTCTTATTGACACATATTGACATAAAATGTTTAATAACATAAAATGTAAATAACTGTAATGTAAAAAAAACACAGTTGCTTTAAAAAAATAAATATGAAAAATGGATAATTTTTTAAATAAGCAACTATGTATTTTCTTTCCACTAACTGTTTTATCATATTATTCTATTCATAAAAGTATTACGATACGATTATCAAAAAGTTAATAGGTTCCGATTATTTAACATTTTATATCGATATGTGTCAGAGTAAAGTGTAAAATATCTCATAAACTGTTGATTTTTTGATATCACTATCTTAATAATTTTATATATAGAATAATTAAAGGAATTATATTGTGCAAAAAAATTACGATTTCATTTAAAAAAGTGGAGGTGACCTTCACCTTTTAGCGACTCCACTTGGAAAGAAAATAACATGACCAAAATACATCTTTTCCGAAACCATTCCACTTTTATTTGAAACATTTTTTTATATTATTAAAAACAAGCGAGATATCTCAAATGATCG